TAAATGTTTAGTTACCTAGCTAATGACAGGTCTGACCCCTGCCAGGGTCAGGTCAAATTGACATTACCACTATGGATCTCTATGTGTTAGGAGTGACCAGGGGCGGACTGACAACTCATGGGGCCCCCGGGCAATAGGGGATCATGGGGCTCTTGTGTCCTTGCCCAAACTCAAAAAAGACTATGAAAAAGGTACCAGGAGCATCTCAAGAGGCCCCCTACTGACCCCGGGCCCTCGGCAGTGCCCGAGTTTCCAAATGGTCAGTCCATCCCTGGGAGTGACACAGCCATACAGTATATTTATTTGTGCAATCAGTCAAAGTATCACTGCTGCTTTTTCTTGGAGAGTGGCATTTTTCTGGCTACTCTTCACGGTCAATTTAACAAAAACATCATACCGTGACTCCTGTATTCTTTTAGGGCTCATGTACACGGGGTGTTTGAAAAACTAATCTGACCTCTGGAAACCGATTGCTAGAAAACGTAGGTTTAAAAACGTCAGTTTACCTACCGCGTTGATGTGCGTTTAGCCGCGTTTATGTGCATTTGCATTTAGAAGCATTTTTAAAAGATAACCTCATGAGACCCTACCAACTGCCCAGAATGCACTGAAAAATAGTAAATAATTAACTATTTCAGACATTTTGAGAGAAATAGAGAGAGCAGAAGCAGAGAGAGCAGTATGTGTTGAGATGACCTGTCTTTTCTGGTTGTATTCGCTATGGATCCCATCATGAGCATAATGCGGCACGCTCTACCATTTTTTCCTTCACGCAAAACCTGGAACTGACTGCACTGGTGTACCGGGTCCATTTGAATACATGGAAAACACTGTGCATGCATTTTTGATGAAGAAAAGAAGGCACTGGACAGCATCTGGATATGGACCAGCCAGAAGACATATGCAAACGTGCATAAACGTGTTTACACGCGTTTACAAGCGTTTGTCGTTTGAAACGGCAGTAAACTGTACTCCTGAATGTGTTTTTTTGTGCTTTCAAGAAAATGCCTGTAAACTCAACTGCCTATTGTAAACGACTATGTGTATATGAACACATAGGAAAACATAAAGGAGAGTTCAGGGGCTACTGAAAAAAATGCTCAACTGCTCCTGAATGTCAGTTTAGCAGCTGCAGTATATATGAGCCCTTACTTTGAGCTACTTTACCTCATGTTTTAATTAAATCATTAGTATACTTTCTGTAGCTGCCCTGTAAAAATACTGGCGTTTTTGAGTGACTTGTGCACATCGTGAGGCCTAGCCGGGAAGGAAGGCAGGCATTGGCCTAAACAGAAACTATTCTATTTAATGACAGAGCCATTTAGACCTCTAAGTATAACCAAATTAAAACTTTTGTTCAAGCTTCCGAGGACACCTAAAACTAGGTTCTACATTTTCACATGCCAAAGCAGGTACAAAGTTATTTGGACATGTTTATTGTAGCCAAAAGTTCAAGTACATGAATTTACAGACCACAGTGCGGGAAATGTGTAAGCTGGGGACAGTAAACCTGTTACTAAACTCACAACAGTGAAATCAGTCTGTATATGCAGTAAAGCATGCTTGTTATACTCACTGTGTAACCTAAGAGGTTACACCTCTGTATTGTGTAAAAAGGCTATTTGATCCTGACTTCTCTGTTCCTCCTCTTGTCTAAATGTCCACATCGTATCTCCTGATAAGACAGTCTGAACCATAGTCATTCTGCACATGCTGAGTTTAGAGAGGTTTTTTTTTTCTTGGGAGAGTGCATATGATCAGTACAGGGACAGCACTGTCCAGACAGAGGTCAGAGGTTTTGCATCCTCCTAGAGTAGAGAGAAAACGCCTCCTACAAGCTTTAACCAGTGCTCGTCTGGACACTGATAGAAGTCACAAGACTGCTGTAACTGCTGATGAGAAAAGGTAATTAGCAGTTTCTATTTACTAAAATAATTGTACTTCCCTGTTCTGTGTACTGTGAGAGACCAGATATAGTGATTGCAGGGTCCTGCAGTAACACTTTAAGCTTTGAACATCAGATGTGTTTGTGGGGCCATATCTAGAATTTCAACCTCCTAGAGGTTTCTTCCTAGATTAGAGAAGCCTAACCTAAGTCATAGGACTTACTTCATATATTCCAGTCCCAAATCAACTAATAAAATTCTTAATGTATCCACGTAATTATCATATATTCTGTACATACAGTATCTATGAGGCATCTTATATAAGAGAAAGATGGAGGAGTTGTTGGTATACTAAGAATCACACAAATCACTCAAAAGTAAAAAAAAATCCTGGCTCTGACTACTAAACCCCATCCACAAGCTCAACAAATTCTACAGGGTGTTCCTAAAGTCACTATATGTGTATGTATATGTATATGTATATATATATATATATATATATATATATATATATGTATATAATGTATCATTATATAAGCTCACCGGACGTTAACCCCCTTGACTTCTTTTTTGCTGTATACTAAAGGAGAAGGTGTACACAATGAACTAAACCCCATCCACAAGCTCAACAAATTCTACAGGGTGTTCCTAAAGTCACTATATGTGTATGTATATGTATATGTATATATATATATATATATATATATATATATATATATATATAGGTATATAATGTATCATATATATAAGCTCACCGGACGTTAACCCCCTTGACTTCTTTTTTGCTGTATACTAAAGGAGAAGGTGTACACAATGAAAATCACAGATATGAATCACCTGAAGGAATGCATCATGAACGAATTTGCTCAAATTGATGGAAATGTGGAGTTACTGCATTGGATTCAAATGAAACTTGCAAAACGTATGGAACTTTGCATCACAAATGGTGGAAATTACATTGAAGATATTATTGATTAATATTCCAATGAAATAAAATGTTGAAAAATGTATTGAAAATATGCATTTTGCCTATGTATCCAGACTTTAGGGACACCCTGGGACAACCTGTATTTATAGCACACCAAGATGGATCAAATCTATACTTAAAAACTAGACTTTATCAACTGCAATAAAATTATCCACAAAAAGATTAACGTTCCTGGCCAAGACTTACAAAAATAAACACACTGCCAACAAGGGTACATCAATGTACCCCTCATGGAATGTATTAACTAGGGCTATATAATTCAAAAGAAGTGATAGTCTAAAAAGATCTAAAATAAAATACATAAGGTATAAAATCAATATGGTCTATATAATCCTCTCAAATATCATTGAATGGATTCATAAACCAAGTGGCATCACATCACCAACCACTATGGCTCCTAAAAAAGGACAATCCATTAGATAGATTGATGGCTGTAAAATATTATTCATGTAAATGTACAGTGTTGATATCCAGGGAAATAGCCCCAAGGTAATGAACTAGTTCTAAAATGTGCCAAATTCTAGTGGTAGAACGTAAAATGAGTAATATCAGACAGTAAATTGGCCAGAACACCAAAGTCAAGGAGATTGGCTCTGCACCCATACCACTCAGCAGGCACAAGGTAAACATACATCAATGGTAGAAAAGTCCCCATAGGTGTAAATGGTAATAGGCACTCAAGAAACCCAAGCCTAGGCTATTGAGTAGAAAGCCATCAAACATTACATACTATGGTAATAGTATGGTGGACTAGGTAGCGATGGTGGAGATATAGTATACTTTTCATAATGCTCCAAAATGATATGCAGGGGGCTGCCAATGCGGTCAGTATAGAAGATGCCTGACCGGTTTTGCTGGTATAATATCAGCTACATCAAAGGCTCAGATTTTTAAGTATGGGTTTAGTCCACCTTAGTGTTGTATATTTGGATTTTTTTGGAGCATGTGGATAGGGTTTAGTAGTCAGAGCCAGGATTTTTTTTTACTTTTGAGTGACTTGTGGTATATTCCAGTCTACCCACTTTTGATCCAATGCCTTCAATCCATTCCTTCTCAATCTATTTGTGTCTACAAATTTATGGTAATATATGGTGCCCCCACTGGGACAGGGACCAAAATGAACGCTTCAACGTTCTCTGACTTTTTCAGAACCATATACCGTTATTCATTAAATAAATGAAAATTCTCATTTGCCATTTGTCTTCTTTCTTACAAATCCTACAATAAAGAATAAATCCCTCATTTTCTGGTGCTTTGTGATAATATTACTTATTCTACCATACCCATGCACACAAATACCTTGCATTTTTTTCATCTGAAGCACCTTCCAGAGGTCTCTTTAAGATTGGAGAAGCCTAGTCTAAGTTATAGCACTTTACTTCAAATATTACAGGCCACCCACTTCAGATCTAATGCCTACAACCCAGTCCTTCTCAACACAATTGTGTCTGCATGTCTATGGTAAGGTAAGCTCCACTTGGAAAGAGACCAAAAACGAACGCTTCAGTGTTCTCTGAATTTTTCAGAGTCACATACAGTAATTAATTAAATAAATGAAAATTCTCATTTGCGGGTTGTCTTCTTTCTTTATAAATCCTAAAATACGGATTAAATCCCTCATTTTCTGGCGCTTTGAGATAATACTACTTATTCTACCTTACCTATACTTATGAATACCTTACTTTTTTTTTTTTTTTTTTAAATCAAGCTCTATGGGCGCCATGACTAAAATGCGCTGGGGATTAAAATGTGTCTAGATAGATGCATTAGGAAAAAGCACGAACGCCAGTTAATATTGACACTGCGGTGTTGACAGCAGTGCATTTTGTCATTAAATTCAGCAATATCTTATGATGTTCATTTAATTAATTGGCTTTGCTAATACGCTGCTGAATTAAAGGCTCGAATTCCCTTCCAGCTCTAGTACATTTTGGCTACAGCAGGTTTTTCATCATGCCATGCAATTCTTCCTTCTGCTACGCATGGAGAATTAACTTGTCTCTGAAGATAGAAAGCAGCTTTTCTTGTAACAAAACCGACAGTGCTTTGGAATGTTAATCACGTTGCTCCACATCCGAGCTAACTTGGGTTTTTTATTTTTTTGCAATACCATCTGAAGTTCCTACCTTCACACTGTTTGTTCCTGAAGTTTCTTTGGAAGCCAGGCTTGCAGTGACAAAAAGGAGGTGTGCTGGTTTGATTGCAGTAGGCGTCATCCCCGCAAGGATTTACATTTGCTTCACAGGAGTATACACCGGGCTCTGAAGGAAATTAAAATTCGTCAGGAGCGCATTTCTAGAAATAAACAAATCACAGTGGCGGCAGGCAGTGTCACAGAACTCTAAGATTCTCACAAATACTCTTTGGTCTATTATTCATTTTACAGCTGCATAAACTAGGAGTTAGGATAACTTAACTGAAGTTGTGAGCTGCGGCGAGAAATTCACGAAGAGAAAAGGAGCTGTGATTTGCCAACATAGCTCTGTTAATAAAGCAAACCTGGCCAATTCACACATGCATACTACAGTCAATAAAAACACATGTATAAACCATCAGTAGATTCAGAGAGAGAAACAAGTCACATTCTATATTATTATTGACTTGAATCCATAAAAAGACCCTCCTGGACTTATATGCTTTTTCTTCTGCAAAGTTGTCTATTCCATTAAAGGGCCACTATGGAGATTTGAATGGTTGGAAGTGACTGCACATACCTCGACAGACCCCCAAAATCCTACCATTATGGCCCAATACGGGCTGTTTTTAAAGCAAAGCTCCAATGCTTCCTGCTAGTGCCAAGCTTGCCCATCCTTCCTTTTGACTAGTGAGGAAGCCTATCACTGTGATTGACCAACAAGAATGTGTATGGGCTGTAGTTAGCTTCTAGCTCCAAAACTACTTGGAAGTGTTAGACCTTTCCTTGAAAGAACAGCCCAGGATTGGTCCATAACTGCAGACTTTTGAAAGGCTACAGCAGATATGTGCAGGTGCTTTCAGGTACCTGCACTACAACTAAAGCATCTCTTTTTAGGGTCTCTTTAACCATACCTGTAATTTAGGACCATAACCTTTTGGCTTGTATAGGGGTTCTCCAGAACACAATAACAAGCATGGTCAAAGGCACCTAAAAATGCATATACACTGCTATGCAAAAGTTATAGTTAGGTGTGAAGAAATGTGGTAAATTAAGAAGGCTTTCAAAAAAATACACATTAATTGTTTTTATCACTTTACAAATTGCGAAGTGAGCAAACAAGCAAAATTTAAATAAAATCAATATTTGGAATGACTAACCTATGACTTCAAACCAGCATCAATGCAATTAATTAAGCTCTTTTGAAGAAGCACAACGAAATGGACAATATTGAGAAGCGTAGGCGCAGTGGTCACCCAAGGAAATTTAATGCAGCAGATGAAAGACAGATTATACTTACTTCTCTTCGACATCAGAAGATATCCAGCACTGCCATTAGCACAGAACTGGCCGCACCAGTGGGACCCAGGGACACCTATTGTCCGGGGAAGCCTGGCCAAAAGCCATGCCTCTAATGTGGAAGCAAGGCTAAGCAACTCAACTATGCACAAAAACACAGGAACTGAGGTGCAGAAAAATGACAGCAGGTGCTCTGGACTGATGAGTCAAATTTTTAAATATTTGACTGTAGCAGGAGGCAGATTGTTTTTCTGAAGGGCTGGGGATTGGTACAAATAATGAGTCAAGTATGGTGGAGGTTCTTTGCAAACCTGGGGCTGCATTTCTGCAAATGGAGTTTGAAATATGGTCAGGATCAATGGAATCTTCAATGCTGAGAAATACAGGCAGATACTTGTCCATCATGCCATGTAATTGGCCCCATGTTTATGCAGCAGGACAATGACCCCAAACATACAGCCAAGGTCATTCAGAACTATTTTTAGCGTAAAGAAAAACAGAGCCCTAATCTTAACAGTCTGTATGGAATTGCATGAAGAGAAAGAAGGATTTGAGGCAGCCTACAACCACATAGGATCTGTGGTTAGTTCTCCAAGATGTTTGGAACAACCTACCTGTCAAGTTCCTTCAAAAACTGTGTGCAAGTCTACCTAGAAGAATTGATGCTTGTTTGAAGACAACAAAGGGTGGCCACACCAAATATTTATTTGATTTGGATGTCTCTTCTGTTCATCGACATATTATTAATTGATAAAAAATAACCTATTAACACTTCTATTTCAGAAAGCATTCTTAATTTACAGCATTTTTTCACAACTGGCTACAAAGTTTGTATAGTACTGCATGTCAACCTAATGAAGAGTGTCTATTCAAGTATGTTCTGACTGCTTTGTTTTCCTTGAAGGAAATAGTATTTCACTATACATGTGAAATATTCTTCCATAGGGAAAGTGCTGGTGGCATGTCATTACAGTCAAACATTGCTTACATCTCCAGTGTTCATTGTTCTCCGCAAGACATACGCCAGTGTTAGCAAAAACTCACAACTGGCAAGGGGGACAATAGGAGAGTTAGGTGTTGTACTTGGTTCCTGGAATAATGATGAAGTGTAGGCCCCTTGGGGTGTCTGAAAGCACCTGCATCCTCTTTAAATTGGTTCATTTGTGTCTGTCGAGTACACTTGATCTCAGGTACTGGCTGTACACATAGCCTTGACTGTGCTGTGAATTGGGAAAAAGCCCCACATTTCAGAACATTACTAGAAATTACAAAGGTCTCTGTGCTGTAATCCTTATCTTTGCTTCATTACTTAATGGGTCATTGAGCTGGGACTTGTACAAAATTCAGGAGCCCCATCGTAACCACCTTTATTCTTGTTGCGATTCAGTGAACCACAAAGTGGTTATTGAAGGTACAGATCTAGGGCTATCATCAGCATTGCTTCACTAAGTCAGTACTGGTTGCTCCCATATTCCTACTCTGACAGGTACCCTTAAATCTAGAGTTTACATGTTTTAATAAAACAAATGCAGCTTTTTGAACATTTAGCCATGAGGCTTGAAGGTTTCAAGAATTTCCAAAATATCACACACGATGCTCTGGGAATCTTAGCATTACACAGTAAATTGTGAAATTGTAAAAATAATATATAAGGTGCTCCTTTATCGCTGCAATATGTCAAATGCTCCTTGTGGACCAGCCTTGCCATATTTCCCATTGTAGATGCAAAACTTTTCTGCACAAGGCAAAAATGTCAGCATGGACTATTTATCAGAGAGCAGACCGGGCAGAATATATGTCACTGCAGTGGGGACATACTTTCCTTATAGAGATAAAATGAAATATGCTTCATATCTCGAAATTCTCCATTCTAGCCGGAAGAATAAAAGTTACTCATTTGAGCTGATATATTAAAGCTAGAGGAAGGAAAAGTGTCTGGACTGTCTACAGCAGCCAATCCGACTGCAGATGTATTTTTTTTTCTAATGCAGGTTATAAAATGAAATATCTTATTCTGCATTGTTTTTGTGACTTCTCTCGATAACATTGTACTGATACTTTACGAGTCACTCACTAAGAACAGGGTGGTTTTGTGTACTCTATGGGAGGACCTCTGCTTGGCTGGGAGGTGGCCCAGAACACTTAGGGCGCATTCACACCTGTGGTCAGTGGGCAGTAAAAACATATGGTTGATCTGCATTTAGACTGCCCCCAATTTCTCCCTTTAAGCTGCAAAGGCAGCAGCCAGGATGCACACATGCCCCCTGCCACATTGGGATCTGCAAAGTGACCAATTCAAGTGGTGTGGGCTTTTAGGGAATAAAACAGGTTGTGAGGAAGCAACACAATATAGCTGCTAGTGATTTAGGTATTTGATCTTAGGGGCAACTTTTTATATATGGGCAGCACAGTGGCTAAATGGTTAGCACTTCCGCCTAGCAGTACTAGGGTCGTTGGTTCGAATCCCAGCCACGGCACCACCTGCCTGGAGTTTGCATGTTCTCCCTGTGCCTGTGTGGGTTTTCTCCGGGTACTATGGTTTCCTCCCACACTCCAAAGACATGCTGGTAGGTTAATTGGATCCTGTCTAAATTGTCCCTAGTATGTGTATGTAGGAATGTGAGTTAGGGACCTTATATTGTACACCCCTTGAGGGTTTGGGACTGATGTGAATGTACAATATATATGTGTAAAGTGCTGCGTAAATTGACGGCGCTATATATAAGTACCTGAAAATAAATATATACATGTACTATGTTCACAATGCGGCACCCCACAATGTAGAGATCTATATGTTGTTGTGAACTAAAACACACATGCATTGTGATGTGCAGGCTAGGTGCATTGCTGGCCATTCAAAAGAGTGGCTAAAGGAGAAGAATGTGTTCCATTTAAAATGAATAGCACCACATCGCATTCAGCATTGTGCATGGCAGCAGTAAAGCCTTTTTAGGCCTGCTTCACACCCATGCATTTTTAGTGCATTTTACAAAAACGCACTACACTCCATTTAACATGGTTTTCTATGAGACACATTCACATCTATGCGTTTTTTAGCCAATGCGTTTTTGGAAAAGGGCAGGGACTTTTTTAAAAGAACACAGTGCTTTGATGTGTTTTGATGCGTTAAGCATTTATTTTTTTTTGCCAGTAGCAAAGTACTTTGATGCCACTTTGATGCAACTTTAATGTGACTTTGGACGGGTGTGACATTGATGTAACTTTTTTTTTGTTATGACAGTTCTGTTCATGTAGTGCAACTTTGATGCAACTTTTCACTCTCTGGCACTCAGATAGCATCAAAGTAGCATCAGTCACATCCAAGTTGCTCCCATCCAAAATTGTGTCAAAGTTGCATCCAAGTCACATCCATCCAAGGACGCATGGATGTGGCATCAACGTCACACCCATCCAAAGCTGCATCGACGTTGCATCAAAGTCACATCTATAAAGTTGCATCCAAATCACCCTCATCCAAAGTTGCATCCATGTTGCACCCATCCAAAGTCACATCCTAGTTGCACCAAAGTCACACCTATCCAAAGTAGCACCCAAGTTGCATCCAAATCACACTCATCCAAGGTCGCAACAAAGTTGTATCCAAGATGAACCTATCCATAGGCACATCAAAGTTGCACCCATCCAAAGTTGCACCAAAGTCGCATCTAAGTCACACCCATCCATCCAAGTTGCATAAAAGTGGCATCGAAGTCAAAAATACTTTCCTATTGACAAAAATACCCCAAAACGCAACATGCATAGGTGTGAACCTGACCTTAGACAGAAAGCTGGGAAACTACAGTCAAGTCACTTCTAACCAGTCCTTGT